GCCAGAGGTGCACATGACCGTGGGCAAGTGGGAGCCTCGTCTTCGTCACCACCGTGACAGGCAGGGGGACACGTGGCCTGGGTCGGCACGCAGGGCCAGGGGGGCCGCAGGGGGAGGGGAGGCGGCGGTCGTGATGCCCCTGTAGGGAGGGGAGGGGACACGTTCCAGGAGAGCCCCACCTGAGCCTGGCCTGGAGTTGGGAGGGACCCAGATGCACCCCCAGAGCCGTGAGAGGTGCGGCGCCCCTGGAGGATGGGGCGGGGAGATCCAGCGTCCCAGGCCTTGGGAGGGATGTGGGACAGGAGCAGGTCTGGGGGAGGAGGACCTGGGTGGCGCAGGGAGGTCTGAGGGCCCTCAGTGTGGGGGGTTGGAAGGGAGGGACCGTGGGACCCTCCATGCTGGGGCTGCTTTTCCTCTCGCGCCACGGCAGTGGTGGGTGGTCCTTGATAAGTACTGATGCCACTTCTGTCCTCCCAGGGCCACGCCCCAGCCTGTCTCCAGCATGGCCAACCATTCCTGTGCCCCCAGCCAGTCACCTCCTCACCATCGGCCCGCAGCCCCTCTCCTGACATCACAATCTCCTACATTCTTGCCTTTCTTGTCTCTCTCTGTACTTGCCTGGCCAAGCCCAACCTGGCCCTGAACTGCACAGCCTCTGCCCTCATTCATTCATTCATTCATTCATTCACTCAGCAGCACACTTTACTCCCCCTGGTCCTCATAGAGCTAAGGTAGAGGTTAAGGAGATAAACAAGAAATGAGCAAGTATTGTCATCATATCAAATGGAGCTCACCATGCTTTTCTCTGTGTCCGCTTCCTGCACTGTGTCCCCACTGCAGAGAATGTCCCCACCATCAACAGAGGCATTCAAGCCAGAACTCCCAAACTTATTCACCCAAACTTTATGGAGCATCATTACAGCCTGCGTGGCCTGGGCTGGCCTGGAGCATGGTCAGGGAGAGCTGGGTGTGTGGGCAATGCCATCTCAGAGGGACCAGCTGGAGCCCTGGCTTAGCCAGGTGGGTGTGGGGGGCCAGTGTCCCCCATGGGCCCAGGGGAGGTCAAGCTGGAGGGGAGCAAGGGGGCAGCTGGGACATTGGCCCAGCCCCCTGCAGCCACTGCCCCTTCCCTGGTGTGCCCTGATCAGTGTGGACTCTGGCCCCCTGGGTCTTTCCCAGTCCCCTGGGGAGTGGGATGAACCCAGTATTCCTTTTGCCTGTCAGTGGGCAGGTAGCACCATGAGGGCAGGGGTGAGAGAGCCACAAGCCAAAAGGAGGATGAGCACTGGGGGCACTCAGCGTGGGTCCTGCCACTCCAGAGGTGTCTGTGACTTGCAGCCACTCAGTCGGCCACACAGGAGTCTAGGTGGGACAGGCCAGGCCAATCCCAACTCTCGGGAAACTGCTGTTGGGTGAAGGATGATCCGTCAGATACATGACCAAGCCTCAGGCAGGGGCGCAGTGAGGGCCATGGACTGGGAGGCCCCTTGGACAGGGGCCTGCCCCTTTGGCGTCCTCTGCTGCAAAATGGAGAGTGGCACTGACCTTGTAGGGCTGTTGAGAGGAGGAGGGCAGGTGTGCAAAAGGCTGAGCCACTGTCCTTACAGTCATGAGAACCCGCCAAGTGCAGGGAGGGCTGGTGATGGTCCCAACTCTGTGAGGGATGTGGGGCTCACGGGTGCTTTTTATTTTATGTGAAACTCAAGAGGCCCGGGCCGGAGGTGGGTGGCACGAGGAGGATTATAAATCGTCCAAAGGGATCAAAAGAACAAGGGAAAGAGTCGGTGTGTGTGAGCCCAGCGTGGGCGCTGGAGCAGATGCTGCTTCTGCAGGGCTGGTCTCCCGCACTGGGGAAAGCGGGAAAAAGCAGTTTCTTGTGTTTAGACTCTAAGTTTCTCCCTGACGGCCATACGCCGGGGGGAAGGGCCATTTTGCCTGAACTCTGTGCCAAAGACCTGAGCTCCAGCCCTCACCAGGCCTGTCCCCTTCTCGCCACTCCTTCAGGCTTTGAAACCCGCAGTCCCCCCGCAACACACACACCATTCTGTACTTCCAGGCACCTTGGCCCCTTTTCAGCAGGAAGAAGAGGGTAGGGTCAGAGGTCAGGATGTGCCTCAGGTGCATTGATCTGTTTTACAAAGTGTTCTCAGAAGCCCCATCCGCTGACTTCTGCTGTCATGTCACTGGCCTGATCTGGGACATGTGGCAACCTCTAGCCATAAAGGAGTCTGGGAAGGTGCATACCTTTATCTGGACATACTGAAGCCCAGAATGAATTGGGGTTCTGTTCGAAAATAAGGGCAGGATGGATTTTAAGTTGGCACCTGGGAATCTCTGCCACCATCTTCAAGGCACTGCTCTGTGATCTGGCCTGGTGGCCTCTCCAACTTCATGGCCCCACTGTCGTCCAGGTCCCTGCAGTGGCCACACTGCCCTCCTTCCACCCTTCCCACCTCTGGGCCTTGGCTCCACCTCACTGTTCCCTCCACGGTCCGGCCAGCTATGGCTCTTTCTCCAAGACCAGCTCAGACTCTCCTCCTAGGGACTCTCCCAGGCCTAAGTGGGTAAGTAAATCAAGGACCGTTCACCAATGAAATGTCATGCAACTCGTAACATGAATTGTGTTCCCCCAAAGATATGGTGAAGTCCTAACCCCAGGTACCTGTGAATTTGACCTTATTTGGAAACGGGATCTTTTTAGATGTTTTTAGTTAAGATGAGGTCATACTAGAATAGGATGAGCCCTTAATCCAGTCTAACTGGTTGACTTCCTTATAAAAAGAGAAGACAGACAGACAGACACACAGGGAGAAAAGGCTGCGTGGGGACGGACGCGGTGACTGGAGCGATGCATCTGCGAGCTAAGGAGCACCGCGGGTTGCCACTGGCACCAGAAGCTGGGAAGAGGCCAGGAACGGCTTGTCCCTCAGAACCTCCAGAAGGAATCAGACCTGCCTACACCTGAATATTGGTCCTACAGAACTGGGACAGAGTCAGTTTCTGTCATTGTAACCACAGTTTGTGGGGCTTTTTGGTTTTTTTTACAGCACTACTAGGAAACTAATACAATCTCCAAGATCACTGTCAAGTGGGGAGAGCAAAGGACAGAACAGTCAGTGCTTCGGCCGCACTTGGTGAGGGGTGATGTTCCCGTGTGCTGGGACTTGCCCGGCATGTGCTGGGATGTCCGCCAGGAACTGGAGCTGTCCTTGACTCTGGGGAGGGACCCCTGGCTCTAGGAGGAGGTGGGGAGGTTTTTCTCTTCACTGCACGGCCTGGGTTCTGTTTGCATTTTTTATTTTTTACCTTCTTCATATATTACTTAATCCAAATAAAAGAATTCAAATCAGGGAGAAAATAAAATGTAAAATGAATTCATAAAAAACAAAACACCGGCCCTCTCCCCAGATTTGTTGGTGATGTTTAGTGATCGGCTCTTGGGATGGGAGTGGGGGCCCTGCTTTGAAGCATTTGCTGACTTCTCCGGTGTCTCGACCTCACTGTGGCCAGCATGAGGTCACTGAATTGGGAAGCAGTAGGGAGCTGCAGCGTCAAGCACCCCCAAATTGCTCTTTGTCACATCACTCCTCACTGCTGAAGGTTCTGCTGGTCTGTTTAGTGTCCCCACTAGGCCATAAGCCCACAGAGGGCAGGCGACAGCAGGGTCCGGTGGCTGCTGCCTCCCTAGAACCTGAAGCAGCCCAAGTGATCAATTCCTGGGAAGGGTCATTTTGGGGCCTTTCTGAAGATTGCAGATGTGTGGAAAGATCTAGGGTGATGGGGATGTTGAGAACACCTTGGCCACAGGCCCTACTTAGGCTGTGCCTTAGAGGTGCAGCCACCCAGGATCCAAGGTGAAGGGTCTGTCCAACGGCACCAGGCTGGGAGTGGAGGAGCCAGGGAAGGGCCACCCTTCTGTGCCCATGGCCAGGGTGTGTCCCCAGCCCTGGGAGCTTCCCCTGGTTTCTTTCAGAAGAGAAGTGACAAAGGCCAGAGGACCACAGGGGTCACCAGTCAGCTCCTTCCTGGCTCCTGCCCCTGGAAACTGCAGACATGCTTGATTTCACAGGCTGGCGCTGGGGATTAGAGAGCAACGCGGCACAAGAGAGCTGGGGCCTCTCCTGGAGGGGGGCTGACCCCCCTTCCCTTGCCTGTGGGTGGAGGGCTTTTGGCTCAGCTGTTCGGAAGAGCCCCTGGGCTGGTAGCTGCAGAGGTTCAGAGCAGCCGGGGCTGACTCCAGGAGGCTGAGCAGAAGGGGTGGGGACGGAAGTGAGACCCCCCGCCCCTGGCAAACCTCCCAGACCTCCTCCAGGAAGCCCTCAGTGACCTCTTATGCTGGGTTAGGTCCCGCCATGTGCAAAATGCTTGGGTGGCTGAGACGGAAGCTCCGCTCAGACCACCCCTCTTCCAGGAAGCTGTTTCTGGTCCTGGCCCCCTCCCCTGTTGCCCCCTGTGCCCTCATCACAGGCCTCCCATCACTGGGATAACAACATCCAAGGGGCATTTGCTGAATGGCTGAGACAATACCCAGCATGTTTACAAGCTTTACCTCACTCAATCCTCACCCCTCCATTAGCTTACCTTACAGATGAGGAAACTGAGGCACTCAGGGCTGCTGTCAGGATCCGAGGGCACACCAACCACTGAACCGGCTCCTATTCCAGGGTGAGGCTGGGGAATGAAGCCCTTTCTCCAAAACATACAAACAAAGCCTCACCCACTTAAAAAACAAAGAATACTTTATTCCCTCACCACATTGTACAGAGCTGTGGTCTTGTCTTCGTTGAGCACAACCTGACTCCTGGGAGAGCTTGTCATGTTCCCCAGGATGCCCAGCCTGGAGGGGCTTTCTTCTACCACAGAAGGCTCAAACTGGCCATACCCGTGCCCACTACCAGGCCCTTCTTCTTTTTTTTTTAAAGATGACTGGTAAGGCGATCTTAACCCTTGACTTGGTGGTGTCAGCACCACGCTCACCCAGTGAGCCAACCAGCCATCCCTATATGGGATCCGAACCCAGGGCCTTGGTGCTATCAGCACCACTCTCTCCCAAGTGAGCCATGGGCCAGCCCCTTACCAGGCCGTTCTTGTCCTCACAGGGACACCAGGCACTTAGGAGACCACCTGGGAAAGACCATTTGCTGGGAAGCAGAGTAGCTGGTTTCTGGCTTCTCTGTGGCCTGAGCTGTCCCAGCCCTGGGGAAGGGGTTGCCATACTGTTCTCTGCTGAACCTTGGCTGCTGGTTGTAGGCAAGAGACCCAGACATCGGCTGATCTATGGCCCCACTTTACAGATGGGAAGCCTGAGGTCCAGAAGGTGAAAGGACTTCTCCGTGCCACAGCTGTATAATTTAACTGTCAAGACCTCTTTCCACTGGCCTGCTTCTGCTCCCCCACTCAGTCCCTAGGCTGACAGGGAGCCCCCAAGAGGCCCCATGCATTCCTGGAGGGGCTCCTAGGTCACCCTCCAGTGGGAGTGGCAGCAGCTGGGATACTCTCAGCAGTGCCATGTGGAGAAGCTGGAGTACACTGGCGTCCAGTTCTGCGGCACGAGGAGGCACGAGGAGGCACTCCAAGCTGTGCTATCCCTAACAGAGACCAGAGAGGTGGCCAAGAAGGCTCCCTGGAGCTCTGCCAAGTGGGGGATTTGGGAAGTTAGCAAGTCCCTGGGCAGCCCATTAGGGGGTCAACAGAGACCCCTTGGAGCCAGCCTGCACGGCAGGCGTACGACGGTGGTGGCTAGGATCCCTGGGAGGGGGTGGGACTGGAGTGTCTGGCTGGGTTTCCAGAAGATCCCACCGAACAGTCCAGGTGCAGAGCGCTCCCTGAGGGGCTGCACGGGCATCACCTGGGACCTTCGTGATGGTACAGAGTGGGCATGAGGGCCGTCCCCCTTCCATACCCGAGAATACTGAGAACCCTGGAGTGAAGCTCGTGGCCAAGGTCACCCAGCTGGTGAGCTGAACTGAACGCAGGTCTGATGGAGTCTGCCGCCCTGCACCTGAGCAGAGCGACAGGCTGGGGGGCGGACGGGCGTCCATCCACGTCAGGTTTCTGAAGAGTGGCAATGGGGTGGCGGCGGGCGGGCGGGCGTCACAGGCTGGAGGGCTGGGCCAGGGCGGGCCCCGCGGGGGCGGCGGGCACAGCCTCGCCCTCAGGCCCGGCCTCCTGGCCCCGCGCATACGAGAGCACCATTTCAGTTCCCTGGGGACTTGGCATGAAAAGGCAGATCCTGCAAACCAATCAGTCATCCTTATGGGGCGCCGCGCAGCCCGTCCGCCTGCAGCCGCGACTTGACCACGTCCACGGGGTAGGTGGACAGCCAGGACGCGATGCCCGACGTGCCGCCCGCCAGCAGCAGCTTGGGCACCAGCAGCGGGTCTCCGGGCTCGCAGCCCAGCGTGCGCGTCAGCACGTCGTAGGTGAGGAAGTAGACGCCGAAGCTGGGCGTCTCGCGCAGCAGCGTGGACAGCATCCCGCGGTGCACGCCGCGCACGCCCTCGCGCCGGTAGATCTGCGCCAGGCAGTCCAGCGAGCCCCTGTAGGCGCGCGCCGCACCCGCGTCCTGCAGCTGCAGCCGCGTCTTGGCCAGCTCCATGGGGCAGCAGATGACGCACTGGATGGCCCCCGCCGCCGCGCCGGCCACGAACTGGTGGAGCGGCGTGTCGCGGCCCAGGGCCCGGAGGGTGTTGCCCTGCACCCCGAACACGAGCGCGTTGATGAAGGTGAGCCCCATGAGGGGCGAGCCCAGGCCCTTGTACAGGCCCAGCACCTGCAGGGGACAGAGAGGCCATCAGGGGCAGCAGGGTCCCCCTCCGTGCAGGTGGTGGCAGCCCCAGCCCACCCAGGTGCTGAAAAGGACCAAGCAGAATTTTATTAGGGGACTGGCCCTTTAGCTCAGTTAGAGTGCAGTGCTGTAACACCAAGGTCAAGGGTTCGGATCGTTCCACCCGCCAGCCACCAACAAAAAAGAATTTTATTAGAACCACAGTCCTCAAGCAACACCAGGCCTGGGGTTTCACAGCTTACCCAAATGTCCTCTCGATACCACCTTTCTGGGTCTCTGGGGTGGGGGGCACCCCAAATGCTGGTTCCCCACCCCCTAACCCCGACCAACCCAGCCACTCACACTCTCCTGCTTGATGATGGATTGGAAGCAGTGCAAGGTCCCTCGGTACTGGGGCTTCTCCGCGCTCTGCACCTGAAGCCGCACCTGGAAGGAGGGGGCCCAGTGAAAGGTGGGCAAACTGGGGGTCAGAGCACCCAGCTCCCTGGCCTGGCGCTCGGGACCACCCGGGGAGGGTCTCTCAAGCAGGCCCAAGGTGGGATGCACAAGGCTGGGAGTCAAGTAGCTTTCTGTGGGTTTTGGAATTCCAGGGTGGGGCAGGGCTGGGTATCCATGCCTCCTCAGGGAGGGCTGTTTGTGGGCACACAGCAACAGGACAGCCAGCTGTAGACGGGGTAAGGGGCCCCCAAGACCTCAAACAAGTGGGGGTTAAGCCTCTTGTCTTCACTGTCACTGCACAATGCACTGACAGGGGGGCATGAACTACCTCCAGACCAACCCATTGTCCAGGTGACACATCCTGCTGAGTGGCTAATGTCCCAAACTAGGGCTGATGCCAAAGGAGCTCCTGAACTAATGTGCCATCATATAACTATCCTCATCGTGGGCTGACATTGAGGCAAGGGGCGTTAAAAGTAATGAGCCCCGGCTCCTCAGAACTCCTGCATGGTGTCTGCCAGCAGCCCTTCATGAGAACAGTGGTGACGGAACAGCTGACAGCCTCCCTGGGGACCTATGTCAGCAACTCTGGTGCCTGGGACACTGGTCAGGCTCAGCCTCTTATGGGTGAAAGCACTCTTTGTTGGCTGAGAGCTTATCTCTACTCTTGATACCAGGCTCTATAGTTGCGGAGAGCTGGAGGGACACTTCCTAAACCCAGAATCTGCTTCATGGAGGTGGGAGGGTTAAACTAGGTCAGGTCACATTCTCAGGAGCTGGTTCCGGAGATCTGACTCAGAAATGATCTTTACAGCCAGGGCCGTGGAGTGAGCACTCTGTCCTGGGCAGCACAGGACGGAGGAGGCCTTCACATTCATTATCTCTGGGCATTGGAATCACCTGCCCAGGTGGGTACAAATGCCCCCATTTCTAAGATGGGAAGACTGAGGGTCTGAGTTGTTTTGCAATTTGACCAATGCTGTCCTCTCCAGGGACATGTGTGGCTGTGTTGGTTGGGGTGAGGGTGGGGTGCAGGTGCTGGCCGGGGAGAGCCCTCACAGGGAACAGCCAGCCTTCAGCCCGGATTGTGGAGCCTTTTCTAGTTCTTTCCACAGAACAGGTGGATCTTCTATTGGCAGATTCACTTACAAAAATGTTTTGTTAGGGGGAAAAAGGACCATCTCTGCACACGAGAGGCTCAACAGCTGGTGGCCACTGCCCTGGGAGGAGGCTGGTGACTGTGTGGGCCCTGTGAAGACTCCCCCCCCAGCACCCCTTCCCACCCCAGCCGCCCAGCTCTCGGCCAGGATGCGGCAGGGGAGGGGGTGAATTTTCAGAGGAGAAAAGCAAAACCACTTGTTGAACTAAATTTAACAACAGATTAACACCAGGAGCTCTGGCTCAGGTTAGGTCTTTGATGCGAGGCTTTTCACTTTCCCTTAATGTTCTGGGGTCTCTGGTGGGACATCTCTGTTCCCCCTGCAGTCCCCAATACTGGCACTCAGAGGGCTGTGTTAGCAGGACTGATGTGATGCAGAGCTGTCCATTCCTTGGCCTGGGTGGCATCTTTTAGGTCTCTGCAGGTCACAAACGCTGTTGAAAGCCCAGGTCTGGCCAGCTGGAGAACATCAGGCTTCTCCCACCAAAGTGGGCAGAGGCCTCCTCCGCTTTGTTCCCCACCCCTGGGTCTGTGACAAGCCCTCACTGTCTGGGAGTCTGGTAGCTGTGGCCCAAGTCTTGTAATGTCTAGAGCTGATGTTCTTAATATTTTGGGGCGACAGGATCTCCTTTGAGGATCAGTGGAAACTGTGGACCCACCCCTGGGAAAGCAGTCATTTGCACACAAGCCCAGGAGGCTCCCAGCTCCCACAGGCCTGGGAGACGCCCACACAAAGACCCCCCTGATCCAGAGGGGGCTGATTTTTCTCAGCTAGCCCCACCCTAGCCCCCACCCCAGGACCTGTGCTGGGCCCAAGCTCATCTCATGCCCTCCCTGTCCTCTGCCAGTAGCGGAGGGACCTCGAGGGGTGGGAGAGGGAGGGGCGTGGTGGGGTGGGGTCCGAGTCTGGTTTGGTGAGGACGGAGAAGAGGTTCACCTGGTCTGTACTTACTAGCGCTCTCCAGGGTGAGGCTTACGCTCATCTACAACAAAGTTACACTTTTGCTATGGATGGAGACAGCCCCTAGCTCAGAAAGTAAAGGCGGTTAAAGCAACACACAATTGCAACATCACATCCAGGTGTAGAGCCCCCAAGGCCGGCCCCCCACCACCCTGCCCCCTCCCCTGCCCAGGGATGGCCAGTCACCACTTTGTCATTGGTCAAGATGACTGCTCCCTGATGAAAGCAACTTCGACAGTGTCACTGATTATTGTCATGTCCAGTGAAGGACAGAAAACTCTTCATACAGAAATATGTGTAAAGGCAGCATGGCTGAAGACAGTGGCTGTGGTTCTGGGTGTGACGGAGGAAAACCAGATCTTGGACTCTTTTGGTCTCAAGGGTCTGGAGGAATAATCTGTGAATACCCAGCCATGAGATGGTTTGCGGCCACGTGACAGTGTGGACTGACGTGGAACACGGGTGTCCCGGAGTACGGCTTCAATTAATGACGTTCAAACAAGGCCAAAGGGACCACGGCTTTAGAAGCTGGGACACTGGATGCCTCCAGAAGGGGAGGAAGTGGTTAGGAGTGGGGGGCTTGGGAGGGTTGGCTGTGTGCTGCTTCTGGGTGGCGGCTACCCACCCAATTTATAGATTTGTACACTTAGGATGTGAGTACTTTTGTACATGTGTTAAACTTCAATTAAAAAGAAAAAAAAACTACAGCAGTAGGAAGTAAATCCCACTTTTGCCAACGGCAGGGAATGCATGTGTATCTGTGCACATTTCTGCTTTTCAGTAGAAATCACTAACAAGGGCTGGGGGGAAGGAGAGATGAAAGGCTGGCTTTTTCCTTTTTTGTTTATATATCTTTATACTATGGTTAAAAAAAAATTTTTTTATAACCAATGTTACTTCTGTAATAGAAAGCCAACAAGAACTTTATGTACCTGATGATTAAAACATTTAAAAAATATCACATGCCCTGTGGAGGGGGAGATCAGTTGGGGGGCAGATTCTGAAAGCAGTACACAAATGTAAAAAATGATCTGTCTGCGGGAGGGAAATCATTGGCTTCTCTACATTTCCCAGTTTTCCCTTAATGAGAAGGTTGAACTTCTATCATGGAAAACAGTCAGTAAAAGCACTAAGGCCATTGGTGATATAGCCTCACGTTAACACATGTGAACGCGCAGTTTAAGAGAGCCCCTGGGTGGCTGGAGCGGAACAGGAGTTGATCACTGGGGGCAGGTTTTCTCCTCTTCCTAAAAAAACTCGGTTTTCATTTTGTTTTGTTAGCGGCTAGCAGGTAAAAGCTCAGCTTTCTTTCTTTTTTTTTTTTTTAAAAGATGGCCGGGAAGGGGATCTTAACCCTTGACTTGGTGTTGTCAGCACCACGCTCAGCCAGTGAGCTAACCGGCCTTCCCTATATAGGATCCGACCCCGGGGCCTTGGTGTTATCAGCACCGCACTCTCCCGAGTGAGCCACGGGCAGGCCCTAAAGCTCAGCTTTCTTTCTTTTTTTTTTTTTTAAAAGATGGCCGGGAAGGGGATCTTAACCCTTGACTTGGTGTTGTCAGCACCACGCTCAGCCAGTGAGCTAACCGGCCTTCCCTATATAGGATCCGAACCCGGGGCCTTGGTGTTATCAGCACCGCACTCTCCCGAGTGAGCCACGGGCAGGCCCTAAAGCTCAGCTTTCTAAGGCAGGTTTGTCCAGATGTGATGCTGATGGGCCACAGTGGCAAAAACAAATAAAACCCGAATGGATTTTCTCAAAACCATCTTCTAAGTGCCAGGGGAGTTGGGTTGGGGGGGACAAAACCCAGTGGAGTGGAGAGAGGCTTCTGCACCTGAGTACTGCAGGGGAGCTGGTCATGGGCTCAGCAGCTCAGAGGGAGGGGGCACCAGGACAAAAGTGCCCCTTTTGTCATGGATGCCAGAGGGTGCCAGAGGGTGCCAGGCAGGAGCTGCAGAAGCCTGGGTCTCTGCAAAGCTGGGCTGAGCGAGTGGCTGGGAGGCACTTCTTGGCTGGACACAGCATTCACAACACGTGACCACAAGGTATAAACACAGCGTAACATGGAGACTGCCAGGCTGTCCTGGGCTGCTCCAGCCTACGGGCAGGCTTCGCTGGATGGCCTGGCTATGCAGAGCAATGGCATGGTTGGGGGTGGCTCAGCAAGCCTGTGCAGGGAACTTGGGGCTCTGTTTGGCAACAAGGCCTGGCCCTTCAGCCTCCTCCCCAAATTGCCCGCAGCGGGATGGAAGGAGATTTGTGCTGATTTTCAGAACTAGCATTTAATCCAACACAAATTACACTATTGAGCTCCAGGCACCACGAGGGAGGCCTTAATAATCCCCCCCTCATTTTGCAGATGAGGACATTTGGGCCAAAAGTCATGCGGCAAACCAGCTGGTAGAGGGGTCTGGACCTGTACAAGGCCCAGGGACAACATTTTAAGGTGAGAGCCAGGGCATAAGGCAAGGGCATCGTTCCTGTGCTGGAGGAAATCCCAGCCCTAAATTAACAAGTGATTTTCTCTGCCAAGAAACACGTGGGTTCACTGAAAAAACGAGTCAGGAAGTCCACCTGAAACCCAGCTCAGGATAAGACGTCTTGCCTTCAGCTTGGCCCATACCCCGTGGGAAAAGTGCCAAGTTCAGTGTACACAGCACGCACAGAAGGTCTGGCCTAGTGCCCCTCTGTTCGCCCCGAGGCCCACAGAAAATGGCATGGAAGGGTCCTGACTTCGCTAGTTTAAGAACATAAACCCCAACCACTGGGGAAAAAAGTTTATTTGGGAATTTCCAACTGGAGGACATGGATTTCCCTGGTTTCAATTCTGGGGTGTCTGAGAAACTGGAACTCCACAGTTTATTGCAGCATGGGGTATATTCCGGAACTGGCTAACTGGGCCACAGCTCCCAAAGCACGGGTTGCAGGCACCTCACAGGTGCACACCAGCACTCAGGAAACAACCACTCAGTTTCTCAACAGTGACAATCACTGCTCTGTGAAGATCATGTTAATGGGAAACACTGACAAGTTTTGATTTTTCTGTATTTTCTCTCTGAACTTTTATTTCTTTCAAGAAAATGTTTAGGGAGTTCTGCATAAGAACAGTATGGGTGTCCTTGCTCTGGGTACGAGAAAGTGTACCCTTCAGTACCTCAGTCTCAGCTGGCCAAGCCCAAGAACGGACTTGGCTATGAACCCAACATGTGGTTCAGCCTCAGCTGGGAGATCTAAGGATAAACCCAGAAGGAGGGTTCAACTCGGTTCAGTGGGAAAACAGCTGCCCACCTGGGCATCCTGGAGTGTTGGAATTCTACCTTTATTCTAAAACCCGTGGGAAGACTTCGAACGTGCTCCTGAGGTTGTAACTGGAAAGGGGTCTCCAGCCACCCCTAACCCTGCAGGCCTCTCTCCAATGGCTCTACAAGGGCCTGAAATTAAAAGTGACGAGAGACTCACCTTGACTGTGTCAAACGGGTGTCCCACAAGCACGCCTGCCACACCTGGAAGAAAGGGGTACCTGTGACCCAAATGCCTGAGAAACTTGCAGTGTGGGGCACTGGGGTGGGATGGGGCTCTAGAAAGGAGGAGTGGGCAGGAGTGCTGGAGGGGAAAGCAGCATGAACCAGGCACCTACTGGGCACTAGGCACATGCCATGAGCTCCTGTAATCCTCACGTCTGGTGGAGAGTGTGTGAGATCTCCCAAGCTGGTGTCTGGTGTCCCTTCCCTCCGCCTGCTGCTCACTGCCATCAGCTGGTCTGGGCGGCTGACAACAAAAGTTGTTCCCTGGAGACTGCACACACGACTTCCAGGATGTCCCATTGCTCTAAACACCTTCTGGCATAAGCAGGAGGCTCCAGGGATGTCAGACCCTCACCCAGATTTAAATTTTCCCCCTGCCACGTACCCACTGGTGGTGTTTCTGAGCCTCACTCTCCTCACCTATTAAGGTGGTATCTACCTCCCCCAGGACAGCTATGGAGATTAAACAGGGTAATGGCCCCCGGGGAGCACTGACCCCAGGACCTGACGCATAGTACACATTGGCTGACACCTCTGCTCCCTTCCCAGAGTGGAGGTGACTCAAGCCCAGGGAGGCATCTGGTGAATGTGGTTGTGCTTGGTTATTTACCAGTTCAGAGCCTGCTGAAAACCCAGCCCTCCTTGAAAGACAAAGGCTCACTCCTCCAAAATGGCTCACAAACACTTCTCAGAGTCCTGCATGCTATAGGTTGTAAACATCTCTGTGACTCTCACCACTACCACTGTGAGAAAGGCAGCCTTATTAGCCCATTTCACAGAAGGAGAAACTGAGGCTCAGTGAGGTCAGATTATTGACACCGACTCCCACCCTTCCCCCCCCAAAATTTCGTGTGTACACCTGTGAAAGTTCTCCTTTTTTTGCTAGTAGTATTTATGTATAATTAAAACTAACGTCTGTTGAGTAAAAACCAGTAACATTACAAGCTGCTGGTTACTGTTCTTAGTTTTGTACATATATCAACTCTCCCACTCATGTACCTGTTAAGGAACTACTAACCCACTTTACAGATGAGGAAAGCAAGGCACAGAGAAGTGATATGTCCATGCTACACAGCTAATAAGTGCTGGAGCTGGGATGCTAACCTAGACCTTCTGGCCCTGGAGCCCTCCTCCCTAACCACTCCCCTCTCCTGTTCCCTGTTATTTGGTTACCATGTTAGTTGATGCCCAAAGGTTAATGGGAGTTACCAAGTACTTCCTTCACAAACTGTACTTTTCTTTGGCAGCTGGTGTAGCTTTTATCTTTACATAACGTCCTGTTCATCCTGCTTAACGCTCTGAACTTTCATGCCACTTTGACACTTTGCCAATTCTGCTATCTTTCTGATTACATGCGCCTGGTAGAGTTTTGTCCAACTCTTAATTTTGAACCTTTCCTATTTTGTTTTATTTTTTGGCCGCTGGCTGGTATGGGGAATCGAACCCTGGACCTTGCTGTTATCAGCACCACACTCTGACCTACTGAGCTACCCAGCCAGCCCTTCTATTTTGTTTTAGTTGCTTCTTTTAAACAACTTAGAGCTGGATTTTGTTTCCTAGCACTGTCTGAAGCAGTCTCAGATTTTGCTGACACAACCCAGAGATCTGACATTATACCATCTCGTTTTACTCCTTTTCCTCTCCATGTTTTTGCTGGAATAGTCATTTGGTGCAAAGAAATTACTATTCATCTCCTTTGTGCTTGTTAATTTGGAAGTTCAGCAAAGAGTTACTTCTTGTTCTAACACTTCTAATCATTATATAGAAACGAGGTAAGCGCCCGCCACTCCCTAAGGCCCTCTCTGCCCCCTTCCGCTGACACCCAGAAAAGCGTGCGAGACTCGGTGCGCGGCTGTGTGCGAGACTCGGCGCGCGGCTGTTCCCTCTCCTCCCATCTTGGGGTCTCTACTCTGATCAACTGCCATTTCGCCGGAGCCTTTCTTGATTATTTTCCTCAGATGTAACACATGGGGGAAATGCCCTACAAATTCTTGCTCACCTACAAAATACATTTCTTAACGCGGTTACAGAACCAAATTATGCTCTGGTGAGGACTCTGGGCCCAGGCGGGAAAGGAAGGGTCTGCAGAGACCCTGGAGTTTTCTGGTTTCCAGTGCTGCAGATGAGAAATCTGCTGCCAATGTGTTTCTTCTCCTTTGTCAATACTTATTTATTCTGTCTAGAAACCTGAGGTTTTATCTGTGGGTTTTAGGAATGTCCCCAAGAAATGCCAAGGGTGTGCCTTTTTCTTTAAAGTAACCTGCCTGGAACGCCACCAGCCCTTGAACTCTGCAGGCTCACGCCCTCTTCTGATGAGGGAAAATTTCCACTATTATGTATTCATCACGTTCATCTTCTCGTGACCTCTCTCCCCTTTTGCTTCCTGGAACCTGTTACCATTCACAGGTGGGCGAGAAGACACCCACAAGCCTGTCTGTTCCTTCGTGCTTCCTCTGTCTTTTTCTGGTCTTCTGGGACACATTTTCTTTCTTCCCTTGAGATCCACCCTCTTTTTTCACTTGAATTTTCTCAATTTGAAAATCTTAGTTCTAGAACCTCTTTTATTGGGCTGTATCTGGATTTCCTTGGCCTTGGAAACCTAACACTTGCCTAGGTTGTGCTGCCTGGCCTTCCTTCTGCCCCTGTACCCCCGCAGCCAGAACCAGCTGTGGGGTTCCCTTCCAGTGGGTGGATGGTCACGCCTCTGGCCCCAGACTTGCTCAGGTGCTACCAACAGCCTTCTGCAGCCTCTGGGACAGAAGGCAATGGGAGGGGGAGAGGAGAAAGCCCCTCACCACCCCAGCCTCTGCTGAGCGGCCAGTAGGGAGGC